AGCGCTATACAAAAACAACATGATAATTACGATGAAAAATGAGCGTCTGGAATGCACGGCGACGTGCAAAAACTTATAACACGAAGATGAAAAGAAATATAAGTTAGTTGCAAAGAGGAAAATATAGACTGAGAGTCAACGTTGTATTTGATATTTGTTAGATATGAAAAAAATATATACAAGTACTATTTCAAATTGAAATAGTACTTGTATATATTTTTTTCATATCTGAAATTTTCAATGAAGTATTAATACTAGTTATAACATATATAAAGTGGTAGAAAAAAATCAATAAGATTTGATTTTTTTAATGAAGAAGCTAATGAACTTTGAATATAACAAATTATAAACATTTATGTATTCATATGATATGTAATTATTAAAGTAATTAATATCACTTAATGATTTGAAATATAATCTACTCCAGGCGTTTTACTCAATTGATATTTTTTAATACGATTTATATATATAGTTGTAAGTTTTAGGTTCAGTAATTCTGGATTTTTCATTTACATTTGAGAGTAAATAACTTTTGATAGCACAGAACTTGATTATGACAATATAAGTTTCTTTACAATGTTATTTCTTTTATATCTAAAACTTAATTCAATTATTTTACAATGAAGTAGTAATGCTGTTCAGTGAAGGTTCGTTCTCTCAGAGAAACTTAATTTACAAATTTTCACGCAGATTTCAATTTTTATACCTGAGAGTTTTTATCAACATTTATGTTGATTGAAAATATTCTCTAGATAAATTAGAAGGGCAGGTATTTTATTTTATGAAAGTTTAGAGTTTTTACTAGTGTATGTATATATATATACAAACATAACAAATCTGGCCGAACAAAGCAATAGCCAATACAATTAGATTTTGTTATTGATACTTACATCTTCAAGTACATTTTTATACGTAGCTTGTTGAATTGGAAATGCAAATTTTTGCATATCTTTACGTTTGAGAGATTTCTAAACATTTTGGCAAACCTGAGAAAAATTGATGCATGTACGTGTGTGAAAAAATGCCAATTCAGTTTTTGAAAGAACAACGCCTCCGATTTGAATGATTCAAAAAACATTTTACTTGTATTGACATAATGAAGAAGTGATTAAATTTTTGTTAAGGCAAATCAAGCAGTTTCAGAGATCTGAGAAATAATTATTTAAAATTTAATTATTTTTTTAAAAAAATGCCATTTGGCGGTCAAAAGTGATTGTTAGATAGATGCACATCAAATTTTTAGATATTTTATAGAGATGTTAATAATAAGTACAAAGGTTTACTGGGATGCGGTGCTTACGCGCTTCGATATTTAGTTTCTACGCAGCTAAAACAGCGCGATTGCTTTGAAAAAAATTTAAAATTTCCAAAATATTTCAAAATATTATAAAAAATCAAATTTTGAATCTTTTTTAAAAATTATAAATTTAGGTACGGGAAGTTCGAGCAATTCGTCTTAGCACGATGCCATATACCACTAATTTAAATATTCTAATGTAAAGATTCAGCGTCCGACGGGTATGTAAATACAGATGAGCTTATTTTGAAATAAAAGCATTGTGACAATCAGTTTTAAATTTAACTCGTGGGCTTAACACACATCTCATGTAGACTCTATAGTTTTCCCATCGATCATCACCCGAAAAGCTCGTAATAGACCACAAATATCATTAAGTTATTGAACGAGATACAAAAATTACAAACTTATCATGCACGTATCGAAGAAAAAACATACAAATCGTTACGTGAAAACCATATAAGTTAGCTCGGGCATAAGTTTTATGCAAATTCACTTCTGTCTGAACAAATATTGAAATCACAGGCCGCTGACTTTACCGCGTGCGCACATCGATACTGCGGGCCCGTTCACCGTTACTGCGTCAGCGGCCAGTTTAAACCGACTGCAAATTAACTTTGATGCGTTTCGTGTACGTATCATTATTTTTGTGGAAATGAAATGATCGCATAAAACATTTTGCAGCACGTGCATCGAGTAATATTAAACTCCTCGCTGACGCTGCCTTTACTTATGTTAATTGCCTTTGGATACGTCAATGATATCGTTATACACGATCGTCTTCATCGCGGCTAAATGATGTCTCGCCACACGGAGAGCTATCCAGTTACGATTGAGGATCATGTGAAATTGTTGGATTTTACAAAACAAAATAATTAACACAAATTGCATAATACACATAATATACTAATTAACTTGGTAATAACAACGTAATTTTACTAAATGGAAGAATATTTAGCGCATACATAAAATATTTTTTTAGAACATTTGTACTTAACAACATTAAACAGTTTTTTTTAAACCGAATATAGAAACTTATCATATACTTTTTAATGTACAAGCTACAATGTACAAATAATGCTCAAAAACATATGATTGATGAATAATTAAAATAAAATGTTAATTTTTTCTAATAAATTATACCAAATTTTTATAATAAGGTAATGATGATTATAATCGTTTAACTCATAGGTTTCCAAACTATATGTGTCGTGGCCCTCTTGCTTTACTATAGAACCCCTAAATTTCATATTGTAATTAACACTGTACTTACTATTTAACATTTAAATTAAAAATACATGTAAAAATAAGTTTATACATTTATTACTTGATTTCGAAAACAGTACTAAAAGTGAAAAATAGTAATAAAAAAATGTTTTTAATTATCGACATTTGGCATAAATTTTGTAAAGTTTACCCTTACAACTTCTGGCAATTAACGTCCAGCCTATCTTTTTTCTTGTAAACAGATCTGTAATTCTGCAATTTAAACATTTGTACTAGATTGTACACCTATACCCCCGTTTAACATGGTATTCGTTTTCGACGTTTTTGATCTTACACGATTTTTGAATTTTTTGTAACGAAATTTATTAATTTTGCATTTACACGAAATTATATACTCTAAACTATGATTTGCTTATATTTCCAAAAACATTTCATAATTTTACTGTCAAAATACAGCACTATAAAATGCATGTTACAGTTACGAATTTTTAGTAATCTATGATGGAAAGATTTAGATAAGATGGAAACTCCCCGTTTTATGATCAAAACTAGATTATATGTGTGTATAAACTAGTATGTTTTTACTAATTTATAAATATTGTATATGACTTTTTTATTTTAGATAGTCTCATATAATTATCTAGTACTATCGTAAACCCCTAATTTTCATTACGTGGACTCAACAACTTTTTTTTTGCTGCCGTGGACCTTTTAATACTTGTCATGGACCCCCGGCGATCTAAATGGGCCACTTTGAGAATCGTTGATTTAATTGTTTACATACAACACTTATATATAACACGTATAGTGTGATGTATATAGTATAATATATATGTACGTCACTCGCTGTTGAGTGATACCTATATCAAAATAGTGCAACGCATAATTTGTGATCTGATTGAGCGGAATAAAGTGGTCAAAGCGTTCGCAAGCAGCCATTTCAAATAAGGCATCATCATTGATGTGTTCGGGATCGTCATTGTGCCCTATAATATGAAGGTATAAAGAGGTACACAGGTGATCACATATTGAGTGATCGACGGTGCCTCGGCCGGACCGCGAGCGAGAATACGTTTGGAGTAGGGCTTCCAATACCATACTAAAATCTGTATTCGATATTTAAAATTTGTAATACCGGGATACCGGTATTAATACCTGCATTGCCAATAAAAAAATTGTTATATTTTTTTTTATTTATCGCAGTTGTTATATTGGAAGAATAATATATGAAATGCTATAAATATTGTCCTGTAATGAGTACAAATTATTTATTTTATTAGCGAATGGGAGTAGATAGATACAAAAAACTGTTTTAGTACAGGTCTAGCCGTTTCAATGATACGGGGCAAAAAGTGCCCAAAATGGTAATTCAGTTTTTAAGAGAACGAAACGTGCCCGATTTAAATAATTCAGAGACATTTTATTTGTATTGACAAAATGAAAAAATGATCAAATAGTGAAAAAAGTAAAAAACAAAACACCATTTGGCTGTCAAAATTGATCATTAGACATATGCACATCAAATTATCTGATATTTCATAGGGATTTTAATAAGTATAAAATTTGTTTATACATTTCTATGAGTTCCCTACCAATGTTTATCCCATAGACTGCGACGCGGCGCTTACGCGCTTTGATATTTCTTCTAAAACGCCATGCAGCACAATTGAGTTCAAGCAATTTGCCTTAAGGCACGATTAGTCGATGTTGTCATTGTCATACTCGTGTCGTTATGCAGAAAACATATTGCGCAAGTTTAATAATATTTGGTAATACCAAAATACCGGTATTTGTATTTGAATACCGGTATTGAATACCGGACAAAAATCGTCCGGAATCCCGGTATTGTAAGCCCTAGTTCGGAGCCGAGAGCAATCACCGCGAATAAAACAAATAGTCTTACAACTCAATTGACTGATCCGTCGTACCGCGGTCGGGGCGATCGTTAGAGCAGCTCCGCCTATCGCTACTCTCCATTGGCTCGTCTCCATAGCCGGCGTACCGTACTCCCTTTCGCCGTCTCTGTCGGCCGTTGACGAGCGGAGTGCGACAGAGCGGGACGCACTGAGCCGCGTGCTACCACCGCGCGCTCCGCGTTGCGTGAGAACGCTTGTTTTTTACCTGCTGGGAACGAAGAGAGCCGAATGCTGCGCGACCGCGCACGATCAGCGGCTCTGTTTGTTTTGTGGAAGAGACCCAACAGGCGTGGCCAAGTCGAACCTAGACGACTCGAAGACTAATAAAGATCACAACAGTCAGTCAGTGCACGTCACTCTTCCGCAGTTGACACTTTCAGTGCCAATACACATACTAACAAGAGAACAGCGAGTTACGCGCGTGTTTTAAATTATATATAATATCATTATAACAGTTTGGGGATTAAGACATTTTTACATTAGCATTTTACACGTGTAGTGCTTTGTACGTGCATATTAAATAATTAGTGCACTAAATGATAGTTAGTTAAATTATAATTATGGCTCCAGAAGATTCAGCACCGGCATCATCCCTGTCTTATTCTATTCGAAATATATTGAGTCCGGACTTTGGTTTGAGAGCGTTGCAGCATGCTAGGAGATCATCCTGCAGTAGTAATAGAATCTCAACACCAGCATCAACGCTTTTGTATAGGCCGTATGCTTCGACTGTAACATCATCGCCACCTCAAAGTCCAACCAGCCCGTCTATCAGTTCTACCATCAGTCCGCCGACCAGCCCTGATAATAATAGTGTTGCATCCACACCTAACAAGACACCCGAACTTTGGCCTGCATGGGTATACTGCACGAGATACAGTGATCGACCCAGTTCAGGTTAGTCACAATAAAAGACATATTTTAGGTAGTTGCTATTTAAAAACAAATGACAAAGAAGTAATTTGCTTATGATTATTGACATTGTAATGTGCAGAAAATAAAATATGTTAACTTGAAGTTACACTGATTTCAACGATTTATTTAATATAAGAGTTGGTTTAATGCTTTTCACAACTGACATGTCGATGAACATGCATTAAGAATTACACCTTTGTCATTTTTTTAATGTTTATATATTTTTATATTAGTGTTTTCTTTGCAATTGATGTGTAATTTTTTATCATTTTTCATTTCTGAACACCGCACATACACCCATATCAGAGATTTTAATTGCGTTTACCATTACCACAAACCTACTACTTGTTCATGTTTTATGAGACAATTAGATATTTATGCAAATCGCGCGTTTGGCATGCAAAAGCATGCAGTTTGAGTTATCGAACCTGAGTAGAACAAAAGAAATGACTGCTTGGCTGAACCCGGCATATTGTTTGAGTTATAACTTTTTTAGACACGTTCTATGCTAATTATTTTAAATGAATTCATTGAATGTTTTTGTGTTTTTTTTATTTTTATGCGAGTATTTGTTGTAAGCAAGACTGAGGCCATAATTTGCATTATACTAACAATAAGAACATTGTTTTATATATAATGTTTACTTGTACAAATACAACAAAACTGTATATGTTCTAATTATCATTAATATATTTATAACAACGCAAAGAATAATTTTGAATATTGGCATGATATTGTGATGAAAAAAAATAAAGTCTTATATAAAAATTTGTTTCTGAAAGAATATAGTCATTTTTAGGTTTTTATTTTTTTACTGGATTTTTTTTTATTATGAAACTTTGAAATCCTGATTAAATGCGCCAACACACTATAGTACATTTTTTCTCAAGTAGGGTTTCTCAAAGTCGATCGATTTTCAAAATTGAAAGTTCAACGGATCCAAAACTGAATGAACAAATTTAATAAAAAATATCCTGAAAAATGATCACATTTATACCAAAGCTCTGAGTTGCACTTAAAAGCTTATAATTTTCAAACTACATGAAACAATTTTTTTCTAATTGTTTTCATGACAGTGATCAATACTATCACCCCGTTTCTGCTTGACATCGTAAGGTGATGGAAAATGAAGAATATGTCGGTTGTCATTTATCGGTATGCTTGCAATCTAAAATCTCCATGAATATAAATTAAGTCTAAACATCGTGAATAATTATTAGATTCATACCACTATATGTTACCAATTTGTCGTTATGTCAACTTCACTTTATCACATTAAATTAATTATGAATGCGAAATCCCGCTCAGGCTCTCGGCGTCTTTGGAGCCGTGCTAAGCTCTCGACTGGTTTGCTTCGGCTCGGTGACATTCATTTGTAAAATGAATCCAGCCGAAAAGAATAATAAGAAATAAATTAACAAAAGTAATTATTTATTTGTCCCATGGAAGTTGAAAGGCTATAAACTAGGTACGATTACTTAGTATCTTGTAGAGAACTATAAAAAAAATACTATAAAGATTTATCTTGTTCCTTTTCTTGACCGTTGCGCTCAACTTAATTTTCTATGGGCCAAATTATTGTTTTACATAAAAAATAGAGGAACGAAAAATCAGTATTTATAAGTCTATATATGCAAAGGAAAAACGAAAAAATTTAGTTCAAACTTTTTTTTGTATCACTGGCTGTTCGATTTTACTGTCTATGAACCATGTGGCAAATTTTTGAAAAAACAGCAGAAAAACACATTCCTACAATGATAAACTAGATGTGAGGGTTACTGAACATAGTCAAATAGTTGTTTGATATGTCTTATTTGTTGTGATACAATTGGTTTGGTTTCCACAACATAATTGCTCAAAGTCAAATTGGACCTTTGTGCCCCGTCTTACCCTAATACATTATCTACTGATATATTTTTCGATGTTCCTGTATATCGCTTAGCTATCTTATAGCCCAGGTCGTTTACCGTTGTTACAACTAGAGTTTATTGTAGTACTCTAGCAACACGGCGGATTAAAATCGATTGTTGCGCATTGCCAGACAGAGTATATGGGTACAACTTTCTAGATCGAGCTAATAAATTAGTAAATAAACAACACAACAATAATTTCGATAGCGGTTTGATAGAGCTGTATTGTGGGTTACGCAAGGATGCAGATAAAATTCATATGAATGACGGGGATAGATGAGACAAGGACGAGAAAGGATTCATGGTTATTGAAATTTAGGTTGAATCGGTTGAAAAACGAATTTAAAAGAATAAATACTACTTAATTTTAATTTTTTGATGAATGAAATGTTTAATCACTTGTACACTTCATTTGAAAAAAAAATCCAATGAGATTTCAATATAATATAGAAGGAATGAAAATTTAACAAAATTGGAAGAAATATTCTTGATCTGTTTTTTTTATTTGCCAATGATTTAACAAAATTAATTAAATTATATATTAATGATTGCTGGGTACTAAATAGCATGCTGAGCTTTATTTTACCTTAAAAAGTATATATTATAAAAACATAAAACTTTAACGTACGGATACTTACGAATTTTCATTATGGATTATTTATATATTTGGACTTTATATGGGTCGAACTTTTTTTGCGCAAAAAATAGGGGGAAAAATCAGTTATTATGAGCCAATACATGTAAATGAAAAACAATATAATCTGTTTAAACCAATTTTCTGGTATCAATGAATTATGTGACATTCAAATCATAGCGACCTATAATGTTAGTTAATGTTAACACTTTGTATGAAAATGTTATTTTAGATTGAAAACTCTAGCAAAGGTCATAAATATTGATATTGGTGGTCTTGACAACGTTATTGAATTAGGCTTTGTGTCATCTAACGAAATAAACATGATTATTTATTTGGTAAAATATCTAAAATTTGAAACAATTAAACAATATCTATTATAGCATAAAATGTATAGATAGAGCTATTCGTGTCAGGAAACGTGATACTTCTAGAGCACGGTGCATAATCCTATCTTGCCAATTACAGATATGAATAATATGTACTTTATGATGATATTAATCAAACAACTTACAAGAACCGCAAGACGAATAGAGCTCTTCGATAGAGATATTTGTCTTCCGCCGACGAAGTATTATTGTCTGATACAAAATGTTTATTTTGCGAAATTCGCGATCGCTCACCCGATGAGGAAGGAGCGCAAGCCGACAGTTCGCAGTCGGTTGAACATCGGAACGAAGTCCCTACGGAAAACACGATATAAACGATATAAACTTTACACGAAGTACATAAAGAAATATTAACGTATATAAATAAAACTGTAATAAATCTGATGTCTGTTGCTAAGGTATAACCTATACAGAGAGTAAGAAATGCAGGTTTATGAAATTTATTTATGCTTTTGTGAGAGTTAGTTCTTCGCCGTCGTCTATGCGAACCCCATTATGATGTTCGGAAAAGCCATTGGAACGTAAAATCATACAAGTACAATGCACGTACTCTGGCCAATCCGTCCACAATTATAAATAAACGTCGCATGGACATGTAAATAAATAAACAAATACACATAGGGCACACACACATGTATGTATATCCTAGTATGAATAAATTGCAAGCCTAACATACAGGTATTGATGCATCGTGTTAGTGATGAAAACTTTCTTCAGAAATTCTCAAAGTTAAATCATTGTTAATCCTTTTGCTACGGGAATGCCTTCCGCAGGTGTGTCGCTGCTGTACGGAACAGCGTGCCGCTCAATTGCACTATTAAAAAAATTACGCTTTTAATAAACTTGAAATTGCAGTAAGACTATAATTCTCAATACTTAAACTATTAGTGATAAATCTTGAAGCAAAGGCACACACAACATCCTGATACAGTACGTTATGTGGATGTCGTCCATGGACCATCATATCCGTAGCGAAAGGGTTAAATGCTAGTGAATCGTGTGTGCTGAAAAAGTAGCAAACACAAAATGATAAAAATATTTGCAAAATAGCATAGTAATTTATTATTGAGCAATTATAACCCTTTTCTAATAGTATTATCAAAGTGTATAATTTAAATTGTAATTAAATGTTATTGTTCCCCATAATATAAATCATATTATATATATATATATATATATATATATATATATATATATATATATAAATCGTCTATAACACTACGGTTTCTTGGTCGAATTAGCATATCGTGTAAATGCGAATTCGTCATGACATGGAAATGCTAGGCTCAGTTACTGTACGTCTGTGATATAATTATAGAAAATTATTGTTAGGGAAATTTTCTAATGTGGAATGCGCAAAAAGTATTTTCTGCTTCAGTAAATTAGAAAATAGAACCGTCATTCTATATCATTTGCCGAATATGAGCAACCGACAAAAAGCAGTTATCTAATTGGAAAATATGTAAAATTTGCATATTAGTTGATAAATACAATTTAACACATTAATCGCCATGTCAGTCACATGTGTATGACGCTAAAAAGTTTTACATGAGTCATGACAAACATACTCAAAGCGCTATGTCAGTCACATTTGTGTGACATAAAAATTGTGTTATTCCAGGAATTTTAGCAAAAAAAATTCTTTGATACATTAAGTTTCCTTGTTATATGTTCACCTAAAATATCTGATAAAGTTACCGTGACCCATGAATTTTTTTCTGATATCATGGCGATTAACGTGTTAAATGATATGAATTAGGAATATTCGCAATTTTTATAGTAATAATTCCCAAGGATTGTATTTTGCCAAGGATCATCAGTTTGCGGTAGGTAAGCGCGTAATCCGCAACTAATACCTCGTCCGTACAGGACGTTTCACTAAACAAGACAATTACGTCAATTGTTATTCATCTTAAACATGACTTGAATCTCATTAATAATTTAATCCTGTGATCTGTTCGACCGTAACAGCATCATCGTTTCTGATAATTAATATCCTCAACGGTGACGGAGAGAAAATATAATACAAGAGAATTATTTTGTAAGGAG